TTCTTGTTCATTCCCTTTGTGACTTCCCCCTTTCTTTCGTCCCTATTTTTCCTTCTTTTACAAATAACCAAATAAAGACTCCCAGTTCTCCTTTTCCCATCCCTTCTTCCTAAAAACAGAACCTCTTCTCACCCCTCGTCCCAAACACCGTCTCTTTTCAAAATTTAACTCTAAAATCCATCAAGGACCTCGTTGGAAAAAGTCCTTTCCGGCAATCTTCTTTCTCTCTCTTCATCTCCTTATGCTATATTTGAGAGCTCATCCACGTCAATGTTGACAAAGTCGACACTTAATAGCTATAGCATTAATGACCACCTCGGCAGCTCCGGCGACCTCTATTTCTCTATCTTTTCGTCTTCAGTCTCCTCTCTCTTATTTTATTGATTCAGAACTTGGGTTTTAAAGTATTATTCTTTCTGGAGTATTTTAATTTTTTGGGTAAATTTTTCTTGAATTGGTGTCCAGTTGATTACTTGATTCAAGCAACTGGGTTTCAATTGTTTCTAAAGTGGATGGATGAAGTAGTTCTGTTGAGATTTCATGAGTTATGAGTTTAACAATTTTTTGGTTAATGATTCGCTTTAATGTGATGGTAGTACAACTGGTTCTGTTGGAAGAAGATGTTGGAATTTTGGGGTCTACTTCAAATTAAATCTAAAAAAATAAAAGCCTAATTTACTTGATGGGTAGGCAACGTGCGTTTCAGACTGTGTGTCACACGCGAGGTGGCTGACTAGGCCGGGTATTTATTTGATACGCTTGATAGCTACTTGAAGTGTCAAAATGGTAAAAGGGTCAGTTGAGGTGTCTATCTGATCGTTGAGGACAACTTAAAGGGGCCGTTTATGTATTTCGCCTTTTCAAATCTTTGGTCAGGAAATGGCTGAATAAATGCTATTTGAGTTAAGAAATGACTTTATGGCCATTGTCTGTTATAATAACATCATCAACTTAGACAACCAGATAATTATTTATCATCACCATCTTAATGAAAAAAATAGTATCAGCTTAGCTTCAAGTCTTCACAAACTATTTGATGACCACTAATCTAAACCTGCCAAACCTTGATCTCAAGAATTGTTCATCATGCAAAAGGCATTCTTAATATCCAGCCCCCTACGAGGACACAAAGCAGCAATCAGATATTCTCACTGCAAAAGTTGCCGGGCAACTTTGGTATCTATTTCCTTTTATATTTGGGGTTCATTGAGTAATGCCAAGGAACAAAGTGCTTTTCAGTTGCTGGTGGCTTTGTTCAGGGAACAAAGTGCTGAACAAAATCGGAGAACTATCCCATCTTGTATTTGCTAGACTTTATGGAAGGAAGGAACAAAAGGGTTTTTGATGGCATAGTTACTATTGTTCAGATTCTAAAATATGGATGCTTAGATCGGTTGGCACTTTGGTGTAAAGTGGAATGTATGTATGAGAAAAATAACATGATGGCAGTTATTTTTGTATAGTAATTTTCCCTTTCTTTTTACAGGGGTCCATTTTTCATAGGGACCCAAACAGTTTATTAATGATCTAGCAATAGCTTTGTGCTTGACTTTTAGTGTGAATAATACTTATCAAAATAACATTCTTAAGATCCAGTTGATGTATAGTTAGTGCCGCATTGTTGCGAGAGGAATAAGCAATCAATTAGATGTGACAAGTATATTATGCAAAAATCCATTCTTAATATCCAATTGAGGAAGTGTTCGGTGGTGCTTTGCTGCGAAAGAAATAAGCAATCTAACAGATGTAATCTAAGCAACTAAAGAGAATGTGTTAATGTAACAAGACCATAAATCTACACGTACTTTTTGGAAACAAGTGAGCCTTCACGATCTTCTTTTCTTTGAGAAATTGGAGTGCTTATATTATTATATTATTAATACTAAGAACTAGTCATATTACATGCCATAGAGATGCCACTTAGGGCATTTGGATTGCCAAGCTCAGCCAACTTAGTACATATATTTTTCGAAAGTAGTATGACAAAAACAGTTCCACCTCTATCTTCCAAAAACTGAGTTTCAACAAAAGGAGGTGGAAGAGCAAAATTCTTGACTTGGTTTAGGTTGGACTGCTTGGAAGCTTCCTTTGCTAAAAGGTGCAACACTTGATTTCCTTCCCTGAAACTATGCCTGACCAACCACCTTCTCTAGTCGGAGCATCAACCACCTGCAATCACTATGTTGGATAACCATGATCAAGACATTTGAGCACACTTGACTCTGTTTCGATTTCCAAGGGTTTCAGTTGGAGATCCCATGCCAGTTGAAGGCCATGTTTCAGAGCTATTAGCGTAGCTTGGAGAGGTGATGCTGCATGTGTGTAATAGAAACCAACAACCCAATCTCCCAAGCTGTTACGAATTACCCCACCTAGATCACAACACAACTTCTTAGCGTTGCCCTATTTTTATTAAGTTTGTACCCGGGGGGGGT